TGAATAAGCGGTGGTCAAGAATCAATGAAATACAATCATTATATTTATGATACCTAATGAATCCCAAGAGGGATAAATAAAATTCACCCCTAGACACATCAAAATGAAACTACAGAACACCAAGGGTAAATTATTTTAGAGTAAACCCAGAAGGTAAATTGCTTTCCAGGGAATGACATTTAGACTAACAACTGATTTCTCAACCTCAATGAGAAGAGCCAGAAGACAGTGGAATAATATCTTCAAAGCACTGAGAAGATAACTGCTAATACGGAATTCTAGCATCAGTGACAATCTTTCAAGAATGAGGGTAAATAAAGGCCTTTGCAGACAAAAACAAGCTTCTACCAATAGTGATTTCTAAAGGAAATAGTTCAAGAAGAAGAAAAATTACCTTAAAAGAAGTCTAAAATTCAAGAAGGAATGATGAGTTAAGGAAATTGTAAACATGGTGCTAAATCTGAATACTGATGTCAAAGAAAATAAAGACAACAATGTCTAACTTACAGGGATAAAATGAAACTACAATTAAAATCCCCAGTAACAATAGCATATAAATTGGAAGGTGAGTAGTTGGAGTTCAAGTGTTCTAAGGTCCTTGTGTTGTTTGGGAAGAGGTTAAAGATACTGATCATAGGGAGTTTTTAAGTTAAATACATATGTTAAGATTTCTAGGCTAACACTATAAAACTAGGAATAATGTAACCTCAAACTAGGGAAGAAAGAAAAGGAAATAGGAATGAAGACAATAGAAAGTGTGGCCATTAAAAAAAGGTTTAAGGTTGTGATCTAGAAAAAATAATAACTATTACCATTTATTGAGGAGCTACCATGGAGTCATTTTGATTCATTAACATTCATAATTTCATGTGATATGTGTAAGAGTGCCAGGCAAAAAGAAAGCATAAAAAAAAAAATAGATGTGTTCTGTCATTCATTTAAATGTATCTAATGTAATCTAAATACCAAACCTATTTAATACTCATCATCCATTTAAAAAATGCACAAACCCTTGACATCATTGCTTTTTCTCCTCAAATATATATTTTTATCACCTACAACATTTCATCTAATGAAATATAGTTAATGCTTAAAAGTCTTTTACTGATCAATGTATACTTCCCTATAAAAGTATGTATGGTGTGTATACATTATATATATGTGTGTGTGAATTTTATATATATATATATATAATTTCTTGTGATTACAAAGCTCTATTTTTTTTTATCCTGGATTGAGTTGTCTTCATATTTTTAATAATGAGAAAGTGAAAATCAACTCAGCTGGAAGTTGAGACCATACTGCCACTGCAAGAATTACTTCTGAGTGACTCCCCCTTCTTACTAATGACACTCCAACCCCAGAGTCTTCTCCTATTCCTCCCACTTCTTGAACAAAGTTACAAAGGTACCCAACTGCTGAACTGTCCCAACTTCTTGACATTATGCAATCCAAATCTGGCCCTGCTTCCCTTAGCTCTCCTTAAAAATCTCCTAGTACAAAGCAAAATAAGTCAGTCAGAGAAGGACAAATACCATAGGATTTCGCTCAGAAGTGGGATTTAAGAAACAAAACAAACAAACATAGGGGACATAAAAGGGGAGACAAACCAAGAAACAGACTCTTAACTATAGAGAACAAATTGATGGTTACCAGAGGGGAGGTGGGTAGCCCCCTGGGTTGGTGAAATAGGTGATGGGGATTAAGGAGGACACTTGTGATGAGCATTGACTGTTTTATGGAAGTGTTGAATCACTAAATTCTACACCTGAAACTAATATCACACTATATGTTAACTAACCGGAATTTAAATAAAAACTTGAGAAGAAAAATATCTAGCACAAACCCAAATCCTGTAATAAGCTCCACTCAACTCCCTCTTACTAAGAAACACCATAGTTTCTTTGGTCTGTGTGTTCCTTTCCTGAGACAAGCTAAATGAACTTTGACTTAGTGTCCTCCTGGTTGCCTTCAGGGGGCTGGGCTTCAACACACTTGATCAACACAACATAAATACATCAAAATAAATCTCAACTTTTTTGACAAAAGAACATTTTTGTTGGGAATGCATCTCATAATGACAAAGACAGTCTTCGCACACACATTAGTTCATACATCCAAAGACAGTTATTACTTGCTAAAATGGTATAGTGTTCATTGTTAATTGCATTATTATACTTTTATTTTACATTATATAGGCACTGAGAAAACTTTCCACATATGAAGGGGTGTATTTACCCCTATTCTTAGTTCAATTCTTAGAACTCTGTCTGAACTCTGCAAAAATCAGTGATTCATACTCAAAAATTATTTTGAGTGATCAACTGAAAGCAGGAGTTGGTTCTTCATTGTTGAAAGCAAGATATTGGAAATGGTCTGATTTCCAGCAGAACTATTGAGTTTAGAGGTATTTATTCTCAACCTGACAATAAAATTTTAGATGCAGGAGTTTTTACACGTGGATGTATGTACTGTAGTACATTCAGGATGGACAGCGAATTATGTCTCTTCTTTGTAAGAAGGGGAGAGAAGACTACAACGGCAGAGCGCTGCATGAATGTAGGGGTTTTCAGGCAGCTACATACAGAGGGAGGTGAGCATCTGGAAATTGATCTCTTAAAACAATTCTTTTTATGAACCTCTTGGAAAGTCTTCCTGAACTTTAAAGCACGAACTGAAACTTTTGTGGAGCATGGGGCCAAAACCAGCAAGAGAATTTAAATGAACGGAATGGTTATTTGCTTCAGATGAATATGGTCAGAGGCATCCAAGTTAAGAATGCGCTTTACCAAGGAGACCAAGAACTCAGTCCATGGTGAAGGCTTCCTCTCTCAGCAGTGCTTAATGGATCCAGTCCAAGTTCCCCACGGTTTTTGCCGTCCTTCTTACCACTGCACGTCTTTCTAAACAACACCCCCTTTTCTCATATACACTTTTTCTGATGGGCCAAAGCATTTGACCAGGCTCTGGTGAAACCTGGCCGCCTAGAGCAATCATTTGGTTTTTGCTTACTTGTGCATCGATCATTTATGTGTAGATTTTACTCTTTAGCTTTCAGAAGCAATCTCCCCAAACACACACACTCTTCTGATTTTTTGTTTAATTCTTGGTTGGAGAGAATTTTACTCTCTTCAGAAAGTAGAAGACAGCAGATCGGGTTCCAGTCTAGGATGTAGGTATAGTGCCTGATTCCTAGATAGGGTTTGCACAAGGAGAACCAGTGATGCTCTCCGTGGCACTCAGCTCCAGGAGTCTGCCGGACTCTCTCCACAACGAATCGCCACCTGCACAACCTGGCCTCGGAAAGAGAACACTTAGCATCTCCAAGCCCCAGCCCTGAAACACAACTCCATAGACCAGAACGAAAGGGACAGAGCACGCATGCGCAGGGCGAAGGGGGCGCGGTTGGCGCGCGAAACGGGCGCGCGCAGACGGTCGTAAGACCGTAAAGGCGGGAGCGCGCCCCGGGGTGGACGCCGGAGACTCGTCTGGCGTGTGACGGAAGAGGACGTGCGCGAGGCGCTGGGGCCTCGGCCATGGCTCACAGGCCGAAGAGGACTTTCCGGCAGCGCCGAGCTCACTCTAGTGACAGCGACGGCGCCGAAGAGCCGTCTTCTGAACCCGGGGCGCCGGAGGAGCAGGCGGCCCCGGGCCTTACGGAGGAAGGGCCGCCCTCTGGACGGGGTCGCGTGGAGGTGACGGCCGGGCGTGTTCGGGGCCGGGGCCCTCGGGGCCGGGGCCGGGTGTGGGCAAGTTCCCGGCGCGCCGCGGGAGCGGCTCCGCGCGCTGAAGGCGGCTCGGGCGTCCCAGGTGAGGCAGGGCGGGGTCCGCCGGAGGTGAAGCGAGGTGCGATGGGGGGAAGAGGCCCCCGGGGTTCTCCGGAGGTTCCTGTGGCCCGCTGCTGACCGAGAGCAGTCGCGGCGACAATAAACAAGACAGCCCGCCTTCGAGCACTCGCCCGCAGCCCGCAAGTCCGTGGTGGGGGGTGAGGGGGGAAGACCAGAAAGAATCCTGTATGGTTTGTGGCTCGTCTGTGTTTGCACCATCAGGTGAACTCTCATGAGTGGTAGCTTTAGTGCAGTACTTGCCGTTTGTGAAGAACCTGAATCGTCACAGAAGTTTAAAAAAAAATTCCTGATACTTTTAGGTAGGGGAAAGTTTTATGTACTTTTGGAAACAGCTCCAGTTATTTTTCTAGAAAACACTTAACCAGAATAATACATTAGAAGAATCTAGGTGACAGACACATGGGACGTTTTCTTTTGCTTGTTTTGTTTTTCATCAGTTATTTGCAAGAACGGAGATTAGAATAACGCTCTATGTCCCTGAGTAACACAATGGGTTGACGACGCTGTAGACTGTACCAATAATGGCGTTAAGTACAATGTAATAGTTTTGAAGTACCCTTTCGTTTTTAAATACAGAATTTAAGCAGGCTAAAGTTGTTTACATAAAACGTGTTCTAGTTTGAATTGGAGCTTAATAAAAATGCAGTTTTCCGTTAGTATTCAGGTAAAAAAAAAATTTCTCCCCCACTTTTTAGTACAAGTGATTTTGGTGATTTCTTAATTATGACCTTCTGTTTGTCTAAAGCTTTGATGACTTTTTATATTTTTCTACTCTATGGAAGTCACCTGGTCAAACCTTAATAGGGAGAAGTGAGGCCAGGAGTTGCCCTTTTTTTTTTTTAAGATTTTATTACAGAGCACGAGCGGTGGGGGGGGGAGAGGGGGCGGGCAGAGGGAGAAGCAGGCCCCCCCCCAGCAGGGGGCCCCATGCGGACTCTATCCCAGGACCCCGAAATCATGACCTGAGCCTAAGGCAGCCACTTAATCGACTCAGCCACCAAGGCGCCCGCAGGAATTGCCTTTTTGCTTGCATTCTAAAAGAGTGGTTCTCAAAACTTTTTGGTCTTAGTATCCCCTTTATAAGGGTATCCCAGAGAGCTTTTGTTTCTGTGTATTATATCTATTGATATTTACCATGTTAGATATTAAGATAAATTTTTATTCACTTTTTTCTAAATTAAACCATTACATGTAAGGATAAGTAACATTTTTGTAGGGGGAAAAAAAACTTTTCCAGAAAATAGAGTGACATTGTTTTCTATTTGCAAATCTTTAATGTCTGGCTTCATGGAAGACAGCTGACTTCTCAAAGCAGCTTCCACATTCAGTCTCTTGTGATACGTTGTTTCATTTGAAATATGAAAAGAAAACCACAGGTATGTATGTGGTGTAATAGGAATACCTGATAGCCTTTTTAGATCATTGAGTGTGTTCTGCTTTGATATTACAACAAAGATCAACAAATAGTAGCTTCTTAAAGGTAGTTTGCAACATGGCAGCTGAAACCATACCTGTCAGTTTTTTTATACTCCATTACATTAAAATCCATTGGTCTGTTTATACGTCAATGAATCTTTTACCCATGCATGATTGGTAACATTTGGAAAGTTACATGTTGGAAAGTTTCCAACAGATTGGAAAGTATTGGTTCACTGAGTTTGCAAATGTTGGTACATTTTATTATATAATATCCAAAAAAAAAAAAATCTGTTAATGTCACTGCGTTACTTCTGATAATCATCGGTCGTTAAGTGACTGAAAGATATTAAGTTCACAGAGCAGGATGTAAGTTTTCCAAAATTCTTGAAGTGATAGGCACACCTTTGCTCATTTTTGAGAAAATTTGTCAGGTATACATGTGGGAATAACTAGAGTTTGTCAGTCATTCTTTCAAGTAAAACAGTGTTGCTCCTTGAAGACAGTGGCTAGCTCCTCTTGTAACTCATCATACAAATGCTTTTCAGTGAGGTAACCATTGTGTTTCAGTATGCCCCAGAAGTGCTTTATACACACCTCCATTTTGTCCCACAGAATATTTAAAAGACGTGTACTCAAAGGTCAAGATTTAATAAAGTTAATAACTTTTTATTGCTTCATTAAGGATGGTAAGTACAACTTTTTTTTTTGTTTTTCCTGGCAATGCATGGTGATGAATACAATGGCTGTCACTGTCTTGATTCATACGAAGAAGCCAGGGGTTTTACCAACCACTGCTTTTGCCTCATTATGTAAATAGCAACAGACTGAAAAGGGCAAATAACAATATTGTGATGAAAGTAGTTTTGAACTCACATACCCTGTGAAAGGGTCCTAGGGATTTCCAGGGGTTGATGGCGGATGCTCTTGAGAACCACGGCTGTGGTATTAATCCACTTTGACAGCAGGTAGGAGTTGTCATAACTAGTAGCAAAGAAAGATATAACCTGTAGTTATATTACTTTGTGTTCTAAGTTTTGATCTTCAGATTTTTAAAATTCTATATAGGTCTATTAAGGGACATTTTTAAGATAAAGAGTACTGTTTATGTAATCTTAAGTTTTAAAGTTGTTCATAAAAAATACAAAATAATTATAAACTAGCCAGTCCTTTCTTGTCAATAATACCATGAATTCTTTCACATTTTGTTCATTCAATTCTCACAACACCCTTATGGGTGTTATCTCTTTTTTAAAAGATTTTATTATTTATTTATTTATTTGAGACAGAGAGAATGAGAGAGAGAGCATATGAGAGGGGGGAGGGTCAGAGGGAGAAGCAGACTCCCTGCCGAGCAGGGAGCCCGATGCAGGACTCGATCCCAGGACTCCAGGATCATGACCTGAGCCGAAGGCAGTCGCTCAACCAACTGAGCCACCCAGGCGCCCAAGGGTGTTATCGCTTAATGTTATCTTTGCTTAATAGATTATGGACAGACTTTCCTTCCCAAAATCACATAGTGGAAACAAAGAGATCCATTATTTAATGGAGACCACAGTGCTCATTACAGTACTACTTGCCACCAGCCATTGAAATATGACATAGAGTCTAAATTTCGGAGGTGAATAAAATTAGATTGAAAGCCCTGCTTCTCCACTTAGTAACTTTGTGACACTGGACATGTTATTTAGCTTCTCCAATCCCTAATGTTCCCATCAATAATAGCATTTACTTTACAGAATTGTGAAATTCTGTAATTGTGTGAAATAGACCTTACAAAACAGATTTAAGTGTGCCTAGCACATAGTAAGTGTACATCCAGTTTTTTTTTTTCATTTTGAACTTACTACCACTGTTTTTCTTTTTTGTTTTAAATTTTCCTTCACTTTTTGATGCTTTTTTTCTCTACTGTTCCCTTCCCTTTTCTCATTGCATCTTTTAAGAGAATATTTTATTAGATAAGTAGATCTATACATTTATTAGATCATCCATTGGTTTCAGAAAGAAGGGAGACAGAGAAAGATCTGTATATATACTTTAAATACATGGAGAAAAATTAAAACACTGTACATGTATAATGCTATGTGTTGTGTAGAATTTCAGTTATTAATTCCACTATCTTGACTCTTTCTTGTTGTATTCAAAAAATGTCCTGTTAGAATCCAGAGTGGTTGATCTTTCAACAGATGAAGAGCGTGAAACACCTCATTCCTCAAAAAGTAAGGATGATCAGGGTTCATCATCCAACAACTCTAGCTCTTTGGAAGAAGAATTTTCATCAATAGGTTAGTAAATTCTGTAATTTTGATTAACTTTATTTCTAATATCAGTATTTTCTATACCAGTGATTCTTATTATTGATAACACAGCTATAGTGAAGTATGAAGCAAGTAAGTCATTACCAATGATTGTCAAAGTGCCAAAATTAACTGCTGTTTTCCATTACATGACATGTGCAAGGTCAGACAGCTTATAAAAGGCAGAGCTAGGATTCAGACCCAGGCAGTCTGCTCCAGAACCTGTGTTTAACCACGGTGCTGTACTGGGTGATTCATGCCAGTATCTGACGGATGGTAAGAATTTGTTACCGAGGATGATTCTGGTATAGGATATAGCAAATGTAAAACTCTAGGGAAGTTAACATAGCATATGCAGAGAACTAAAAATAGTTGTTGAAATGAAAATATTTGGTTGGAGTTTAAGAAGGAGGAACAACAAAAACAGACAAATTGGAGTCAGACAGTATAGAGTTTGGGAGAATTTTATACAAATACATGGCATGACCATTTTTGTGTTTTAGATAATCCAGTTCAGTGGTTGGGAAATTACCACTTGTGAGTCAAATGTGACCCATCCCATGCTTTTGCAAATAAATCTTTATTAAAACACAGCCATTCTCATTCAATTATATATTGTCTGTGGCTGCTTTTGCATTACAGTGACAGAATTTAGAGGTTGTGACAGCTAATTTGTGAAAGCTGAAAGTATTTCTCTGGCCTGTTACTCAAGCTCAGGGGTTTGTAACTTGTTTTGTGCTTTGGACTCTTGTCAGTCTCATGAAGTCTGAGACCCCTTCTGAGAAAATAAAAATATGTAGCTTTATAAAAGAAACAAATTAAATTGAAATGTAATTGTTTAAATACATTTTTAAAGACTGGAAATAGGACACCTAGGTGGCTCAGTCAGTCATGCGTCTGCCTTCGGTCCTGGGATCAAGTCCTGCATCAGGCTCCCTGCTCAGCGGGGAGTCTGCTTCTCCCTCTACCCTTCCCCCCCTTCCCATGAATCTCTCTCTCTCAGATAAAATCTTAAAAAAAAGACTTGTAATATAGTGAAAGTGCTTTATTAACTTATTAAATAACAAGAACCGGTAGCTCTTGTAATTTTTTTCTTATACAAGTTCACGAGGTACAGAAATACTTAATGATGAAACCAGTATTAAGAATTGAAGCCTGGTAGATGAGTGATTGTCTTGTCTAGACTGGAGATACAGTGCTGTCCAATAGAACTTTCTGCGATGATATAAAAGTTGTATATCTTCATTGTCCAGTATATGAGCCCCTAGCCACATGTGGCTGTAGAGCTCTTGAAATGTGGCTGGCTAGTGCAGCTAAGGAACTGGAATTTTAATTTGGCTGAATTTAAATGGTCACATATGGCTAGCGGTCACTGTATTGTACAGTGCTGCTTTAGAAAACAGTGGATTAGACAGTATAAGCCAGTAGTTGTAAAGTGTTGGCAGCATTGCACATCTAAGGAGAGAAGACATTGTTTGCCAGTGCGTGGGATAGTTTTTAATTATTGTCATGATAGAGGTGTTGCTGGCATGTAGTGCCCTGGAGGCAAGAAATGATACATGTCTCAGAGAACAGGGCAGTTCAACACAGTGAAGAATTGTCCCTCCCCAGAGCTCATTTCAGAAACACTGAAAGTTGAAAATTTGTCCTGTTTTTCTTTCTTCTGGAGAAGAAAAGATGAAGGAATGTGAGAAGTTTGGGGATTGGTTTGTGGATGAAGGAGTGCATTTGTTTTTTGTTCAAACAGTGAAACTGTTAGAATGATCCAGTAGTGGAATATCTGCCTTGAGATGTTGCAGATACAGCATGTTACACATGGGGCATGATGTTAACCTGTACTCCTTAGATAAGATGATGTATGTGAAAATTATTTAGCTTATAAATATGCATGTTTATATTATAAAGCAATATGCTAATGTTATTAATTCATTCCATGTTTGGCCAGTATCTGCTGTGAGCTAAATGTTGGGTATAGACAGGACAGGATAATAACTCTTCTCTTGAACTCTTTTTTCTTTATTGTTAGCTTTATGTAGCACTACTACTTTACTAGTCAGTCTGGTGCCTGTGATTTATTAAACCCCATCAAGTCATTTGCAGATGAATCACTTACACTTCCTACACTTCCAGTATTTCTGCTTTTGTATTCATACACTTGAGTATATGAACCTAAGTGTATCATCTTAGTCCTGATTTTACATTAAAATTTCCTAGAGGTCTATAAAAACATAGTGCTGCTCAGCTCCACCTCAGATCAACTGAATCTGAATCTCTGGGATGGGGGGCTTAGGTACCAGTAGATTATCAAGCTTCCCAGGTGACTGTAATGTGCAACAAGCATCAAGGTATGTTAGTGTTGGGGCGCCTGGGTGGCTCAGTTGTTAAGCGTCTGCCTTCGGCTCAGGTCATGATCCCAGGGTCCTGGGATCGAGCCCTGCATCAGGCTCCCTGCTCAGCGGGAAGCCTGCTTCTGCCTTTCCCACTCCCCCTGCTTGTGTTTCCTCTCGCTGTGTCTCTCTCTGTCAAATAAATAAATAAAATCCTAAAAAAAAAAAAAAAAAAATGCTAGTGTAACCTGCTGTGAAGGTTTTGAGTCTTAATTCTGCTTTAGGTTATATTTAGCTGTCCCAGCTTTAAGGACATGTCTTTTTATCTTCGTTCACATCACATTAAGATCATTAAACCAAGCAAGACGAACCACAGAGCCCTTAGCAGATCCTTACAATGCTTCATAATCAACATTTTTTTTTTTTGGAGTAATTCAACCAGTTAAGAATCCTGTGCAATATGTGATTTTCCCCCACAAATTTTAACATTATCTACAAGGAAAACATGCAACTGTTAAATTCTTTGGGAGGATGAAGAAACATCTGACCTGCATCATTTCCCTGATACTAACCTATATATTAGTACTGGTCTATAAAAAGTAAGTCACTTGATTTAATTTTTTTTTTTTTTTAAGATTTTATTTATTTATTTGAGAGCGCACACTGGTGTGGGGAGAGGGAGAGGGAAAAGGAGAGAATCTCAAGTAGACTCTGTGCTGAGCACAGAGCCCAGTGCAGGCTCAATATCATGACCCTGAGATCACGACCTGAGCTGAAACCAAGAGTTGGCCATTTAGCCTATTGAGCCATCCAGACACCCCTGATATTCCTTGTTCTTAGTGAACTTATGTTGGTTTTTAGTGATCCCCTGTTACTGTTTCATAATTCAAGCACTTGTTTTCCTTAGCACCAATGTCAAGCATATTGGTTCATAATTTCTATATTTCTTTTTTTTTGTTTCAAGAGTTGGAACATTTCCACATCTCCAGGCATTAGGACATCTTTTTATTTCTCAAAGAATTTGGAACAGTTTATGGTTAAGTTTAGAACCTTTTACTTGAGCCTTGGTAACTTAACATCCCTAATTAACATTTTGAAGTGCTTGAAATAGTGAAAATTTCTTTTACCATTTTGTTTACCTTGGTATTTTGCTTAAGAAACTATTTTTTTTCCAGAAAGTAAAGATCAGTTTCAGCTCAGATCATGCATGAAGAAACTTGTTTTGAATTGGAAGAGTACCCATTAATATGGTTTATACTCTATAAAGAAAAACTAAAGGCTGTACTAAAAGATGTCACTTAAATATTTTTCACCTAGTTAATGAACCTGATTATTTTCTTTACGCTTTTTAACTTCTTATATTTATTCATGTGGAAATCACCACAGGACCTTGGAGGCTGACTTAGCTGTGTGCTGGTTTTAGTCTCTTTCTCACTCCCTATATGCCTGGATGCCTTAAGGGGAGGGGCATCCTCTCCCTCTTTGTGAGTCAGACTGGCCTATCCCCCATCATTCTAACCTCTACAGTTCTGACTGACTAAGCAGCTCCATGCTCAGCAGTCTCGACATCCCAAACCTCACAATCTCAGAGCTTCTAGAAATGAGAAAGAGTCCTCAACTAAAAGCCAGCAACAACAGCTGATGAATAAGAGAGCTAAAAGACAAATTGAAGTGATACCAGTATATTTTCTGATACTTCTAGATTAGGTTCATTTTCTAATTTATATTTAATCTATAAAAGTAATTTTCTTATGTAGATTTTGAGCTGTGCAGTTACATTCGTATCAGAACATGAAAAAAATTGGAAAGACACTGCTTTTTTATTTTATTTAAATAATGAGGATATGTATTTCTGTTGGTGTTTTTCATTGTCTTCCTCTTTGTTTCTTTCAGTAAATATCCCTGATTCAGCTTTTATTCAGGCAGCCCGCAGAAAACGTGAATTGGCCAGGGCCCAAGATGACTATATCTCTTTGGATGTAAAACATACCTCTACCATCACTGGGATGAAGAAAAACAGTGATGAAGATTCTGAGAGTGAGCCTGATGACCATGAAAAGAGAATACCATTTACCCCAAAGCCTCAAACCCTTAAACAAAGAATGGCTGAAGAAACAAGTACTTACTTAATTTATTTACAATATATTAATATTAAGGGATTTTTCACTTGAATATAATATGTTAAAGTCTCCATAAAAACATAATGTAGTGTCTCATACTTTAAAGTGTTAGAAGTTGGTTTTTATTTAATACCAATTTGGTCAATGACATCATAGTCTCTGAAAGACATGTCTGTTAAAATATTATTATCAAATAATGTGTAATAACATTTACTATTATCTGACCTCCACTTGATCTTTTTTGACAGATTAAAAAAAATTGTACAGTCTTATTTTTGATATTGAAAATGTTCATTCTCACCTTTATGAAGATTTTTTTAACATGGAAGCATCTACAGGGATTTTTAGCTGTCATTAAAATCTCCCCTGCTCTAATAAAATATTTCCTCTACTGATAATCCTTAGGTCTCAAAGGACTATTTTTACATTTCACATTTATAAACAATATGTTTTACCAAAACTTTTGTTACTTCAAATAATAATTTTTCAGAATGAGACTTTTGGTTTCCTTATAACCCAGAAATTATTTTTCAATATTTAGATTCTTTTTTTTTTTTTTTTTTTAAGATTTTATTTATTTGACAGAGACACAGCAAGAGAGGGAACACAAGCAAGAGGAGTGGAAGAGGGAGAGGCAGGCTTCCCACTGAGCAGGGAGCCTGATGCGGGGCTCAATCCCAGGACACTGGGATCATGACGCGAGCCAAAGGCAGACGAGCCACCCAGGCGCCCCTCAATATTTAGATTCTAAGGTAGAATTTATAATCTCTGATAAGGAATACCAAATGTTTCATTTTTCCAAGTTTTTTTTTTCCCATGTGTGAAACTGTAGTGTTTTCAGTGGGACAGTTTGGTGATGAGTACAGATTCCCAGATTCAAGACTCGGCTTCAGCACATTCCTCAGACAAATTATTTAACCTCCCGATAGGAGTTTCCTCATTATAAAAAAAAAGAGTGATAATAGTGCTTTCTTCCTAGAATTATGGTGAAGAATAAGTTAACACGTGTAAAGCTGCTAAGCCAGCAAGTCATAAGCCCCCCCAAAAATGTTAGCTGATGCTTTTAGAATGGAAAAATATAAATAACTATTCATGAATTTTTTTTTTTTTTTATTCCTAGCACCCAGAAATGAAGAAACAAGTGAAGAAAGTCAGGAAGATGAAAATCAAGATATTTGGGAACAGCAGCAAATGAGGAAAGCAGTTAAAATCACAGAGGTAGTAATTGTTTATACCATTTGTATTAATTTTCTGTGGCTGCTATAAAAAGTATCACAAACTTGATGGCTTAAAACAAGACACATTATTTCTCCCAGGTGTGGAGGCTAGAAGTCCAAAAGCAGGGTGTTAGCAGGGCTGTGTTCCCTTTGAAAGCCCTAAGGGAGAATCTTTTCTTGCCTTCCAAATTCTGGTCACCCCAGGTGTTCCTTGCTTTGTGACTGCGTAACCCCTCTCTCTGTCTCCTTCTGTATATGGCCTTCTCTGTGCCTGTAGTCTTATTTTATAAGAATACTTCTCAGTGGGCTTAGGGCCCACCTGAATAATCCAAGATTTCTCATCTTGCGATATTTCACTTAATTAAAACCACAAAGACCCTTTTTCCAAATAAGGTCATATTCACAGGTTCTGGGGGTTAGGACATAGACATAACTTTTGTGAGGCCACTGTTCAACGTACTATACCTTATGTTCTTTTCCTTTTAAACACCTTCCACATTTTACAGGCCACTTGAGGGGACCATATTTTGTCTTTAATTTTATAGTAACTGTGACATAGGTGTGTAAATGTAAAGTTTAAACAAATAGATTTAAAACAAAACTAATTAAAAAATACTGTTCTTGAGGTCAAAAGTCCTAGATTTGGGTTCTGGCCGTACCACTAAAATATATGCTTCATGAGGTCAAGAATTACTAACTATTCAGTGTTTATCCCTCCGTGTCTAATACTGTGAGTGCTCAATAAATATTTGTGCAACTTTGAGTAAATTATTTAATCTTTTTTTTTTTTTAAAGATTTATTTATTTATTTTAGAGCACACACACACCTGAGCAGGGGCTGGGGATGGTTGGAAAGGGAGAGGGAGAGAATCTCAAGCTGACTCCAGGCTGAGCATGGAGGCCGATATAGGGCTTGATCTCCCAACCTTGAGGTGAAACCAGGAGTCAGACATTCATCTGACTGTTCCACCCAGGCACCCCAAATTATTTCATTTTCTAAATCTGTTCTCTCATCAGTAAAATGGGAAGATAATGTTAACTACATGAGTAGCTGGCTATAGGCTCAAAATCATAATTTAAATTGAAGCACTTATAAATTATATAATAATCAAATATAAAGGTCTTATTTTTTTAATCTGTTTAACAAGAATGTTTTGAAAGATTATATGCTCTTTTAGGTAAGAAAAGTATTGTTAAGATCTCTACGTCATTAAAACTAAAAAGCTAAGTAAAGATAAGCCTTTGGTTTTAACAACATTTAGAAATCTCTGACCAGAGAAATGGTTTAGAGGGCTATTTTTATGATGTAAAAATAATAGATGTAGGACCCCCCTCCTCTTTTTAGTAAAGTCAGTATAGCTAAACAGCATGAAAAAAATAACTTTGAGAAAAAACATGTCATAGTCCTTACTCTGACTGCTCAAGTTTGCATAATTCCTTTTTAAGTATTTGTTTAATTGCAGTCATAGTATATATTAGAAGTTCCCAGACTTCCCATTCATGGAGCCCTCAGTGTCAGTAACTTTATCCTGGTTCCCCCAGGCCAAAAGAAGTACCAAAGAGTTCTATTTATGAAGTATTTAGGGTCAAAGAATTTAATAATGTTTATGTCCTAATAACTTAGTAGCTTTTGGAAAACACATAGATAAATTAAGAAAAAAATCTATTTCATTTTTAAATAACCACAATTACTTATTAATGGGATGCACCTCTTGGGCACTGCATGATATCGCAGACCTTGGAATCAGATTATTCACTGTCATTCTCACCTCCTTTCCAAATTGATTTTCAGTCACTACTTTTTTTTCGTTACGTCCACCAAGAACCCACCTTCACTAATAAGACTTTATCAGAGGACTGTAGCACAATCTAATGTTGCAACTGTGAACTAGTAAAAACTAGTAGTCCAACAAATGATGAATATGTATTCCCCTAAAATATTTAAAATACCTATATTTAAAATGTATATTTAAAATATAGCACTCCTTTGAGTTCACCGGGATGCCTTGGCATGTAGATTGGGAACTACAGTATGCATACAGTTTCAAATTCTGGGTTTTTTTGCTTGACCTGTTATAAATATTTTCCCCTATTTCTATACATAGTTATCATAATAACTAATTTTTTTAATTGCATAATATTTATTAGAGTCAGTGAATCATAATTTTTTAGCCATTCTTCCTTTTGGCAAACATTTTAAGTTATTAACAATCTGAATCTTTTTTTCTATTTTTTTTTTTTTAAGATTTTATTTATTTATTTGACAGAGAGACAGCGAGAGAGGGAACACAAGCAGGGGGAGTGGGAGAGGGAGAAGTAGGCTTCCCGCTGAGCAGGGAGCCCGATGCGGGGCTCGATCCCAGGACCCTGGGATCATGACCAGAGCTAAAGGCAGACGCTTAACGACTGAGCCACCCAGGCGCCCCTTTTTTTCTATTATTAATAAGAAATAGGGGCGCCTGGGTGGCTCATTTGGTTAAGTGACTGCCTTCGGCTCGCGTCATGATCCTGGAGTCCCGGGATCGAGTCCCGCATCGGGCTCCCTGCTCAGCGGGGAGTCTGCTTCTCCCTCTGACCCTCTCCCCTCTCATGTGCTCTCTCTCTCATTCTCTCTATCAAATAAATAAATAAAATCTTTAAAAAGAAAAGGAAAAAGAAATAGAAGGGGCACCTGGCTGGCACAGTGAGTAGAGCATATGACTCTTGATCTCAAGGTTGTGAGTTTGAGCCCCACGTTGGGTGTGGAGATTACTTAAAACTTTAAAAGAAATAATAAGAATTGGTAAATATTTGCTTGCCTTTTTTTCTTTTCTTTCTTTTGTTCAGACGTATGTTATCTTAGGATAGTGGCCAAGTGTGGTGTTACCAATAAAGGACATGAACATTTTTATGGCATTTACTACACTTTTCCCTATTGCTTTCTAAAGAAAATTTCGAACAATCTGTAATGCCATTGATATTATGGGAATGTTTCATTACAGTCTTGCCAGCTTAGATGCAAGATTAGTTGCACCAAAAAATGGAATCTCAAGCTATTTGATTTACATTTTTTATTATTAACTGTGAGTATATTTACAGGTTCCTTTATTGAAGATCTACCACATGCTACTGTGTTAGTTTCCTGTGACTATTGTAACAAATAACCACAAACGTTGTGGCTTAAAACAACAGAAATTTAGGGGTGCCTGGGTGGCTCAGTCGTTAAGCATCTGCCTTCGGCTCAGGTCATGATCCCAGAGTCCTGGGATCAAGCCCCGCATCGGGCTCCTTGCTCCGTGGGAAGCCTGCTTCTCCCTCTTCCACTCCCCCTGCTTGTGTTCCCGCTCTTGCTATCTCTCTCTCTCTCTCTCTCTCAAATAAATAAAATCTTTTAAAAAAAAATTTATTTTCTCACATTTCTGGAGGTCAGAAGTCGAAAATCCAGGTGTTAGTAAGTCTGCACTCCTTCCAAAAGCTCTAGAGGATAATCTGTTCCTTGACTCTTCCAGCTTGTGGTAGCTGTTGGGATGTAGCCACCTCTCTCTCTGCTCCATATTCGCATCACCTTTTTTGCGCCCCAGAACTCCCTCTACCTCTCTTATGAGGATATATGTATTGCATTTAGGACTCATCTGGATAATCCAGGATAAGCTCCTTCTCTCCAAATCCTTAATCACATCTTTGGCCACGTAAAGTAATATTCACAGGTTTGGGAGATTAGGACATGGACTTACTTTTTGGGGTCGCCATTCAGCCCCTACACCACTTAATAATGATAAACACTAGAATGTACAATCTTTATATGGGAGAGACAGCTAAACAAAGTAATTGTAGTGAAATCTTACTTTGACAGAACCTATACCGGGTCCTGAGATAGCACATAGGAGCAAGGGAGTGGTCAGTTTTATAGGTGATAGGGAGGTTTGGAAAAGCCTCTACAAAAGTTGATCATATTTGGATGGGTCTTTGAAAGATGTTTATAATGTAAGGGATTTGAGACAATATATCAGGATGTAAAGACATAAGATGTGAAATAATCTGACTAATTTGAGGATTTGCAGGAGTGATTAGAGCCGGATGAGAGGATTGGTTAAGAATTAGCATGAGAAATGATGCCTTGTGATAAATACAAGGATAGTTAAGCCAGTGATTTGGCTTAATATCTGGTCCACTTCTTTGCATATCCTTATCTAAAACACGCTCTTAGAACTCTTTCAACATGCTAAGTATGATGGTGATAAGCTATGATTAGTCAGAGGATAGTAATACGAAATGTTATAAGGTGTACTAACTAGAACATGGTCCTCGACTAGTAATAGATAACCCAGATAACAACAGTAGCTTAAACAGAACTAAAAGCTTTATCCCGAAACCCTCCAAAAGACTTCCATTTACTTTTCTTTGACTAGAGGAGTTAGGTGGATACTCCTATCATGGAAAACATAATCTTCTGAGAGTACATTAGATCATAAACAAAACTACTTTAAAAACACTGAGAAGCAAGCTTTTGTGAAAAGTAAGATTTTGTAATTTGCCTCTTGCATGCAAAAGATATATATATTTTTTATTTTGTTATTTTGTTATTTTTGAGAGAGTGTGAGCGGGAGGTGGGGGATAGTGGGGGGCAGTAGGGCAGAGGGAGAGAATCGTAAGCAGACACTGCCCTGAGCCCAGCGGCCCAATGCAGGGCTCAATCCTCATGACCTGTGCTGAAATCAAGAGTCGGACGCTTAAGTGACTGAGCCACCCCGGTGCCCCTAAAGTTCTGTATCTTAAAACTAAGAATTATAAAAACATTTTATTGTAACTATAAAAATCGTCAAAGGCACGGAATTTTGAGCTGGTGAGACATTGGAATACCCAGTCTGCTTTCATGTTATTCATCTTTATAAGATTAATGAGTCTTTTAAAACAATACAAATTTTCATATTTTTAGGGACCAGGCCTGGATCTTTCCTACAGCAGTGAACTTCAAACAGTAAAGAAGTTTGATACTTCGATTTCATTACCACCAGTAAATTTAGAAATTATAAAGAAGCAATTAAATACTAGGTAAGTAAATACTGATTTTAAAATACATTTGTCCTAGACATTTAATAGTGAAAAAAAGCACTGTGTTCTTCTTAATTAAGTACAAATATTAGTATTAAACAGATTTGTAGGAAAAAAAATAGCACCACCTTTGTTACCACACTAGCACAACTGATTTTCTTTTCTGTATGTGTCTTTTTAGTCTTTATAATAGATACATGCTACATGGTTAAAATCAATAAGTATCAAATTCTGCCTTTTTTCTTAATATTTTTATAAACCTTCATCTGCATTGTTAAATAGCCTTTAATTTTTAAAAAATAATAAGTTGGGGGTGATGTCAGGAAGATGACATAGTAGGAAGCCCCAGACTTCATTTCCCCTTAGAGATACCAACTTAATATATAGTCTAAAAAGCTTTTTTGAGAATTCCAGAAACCAGTTAGCTCAAAGCCAAGAATAGCCACACTGAAATGGGTAAGAATCCATTTCATTTCTTTTTTTTTAATTTAAATTCAATTAACATATAATGTATTAATCTCAGAGGTAGAGGTCAGTGATTCATCAGTCTTATATAATACCTAGTGCTCATTACATCACATGCCCTCCTTAATGTCTGTCACCAAAGCCATTTCATTTCATCTGTATCAACCACTTTTGAAAGCCTGCACTGCTTGTGAGAGAGAAAAAGCCCAACTCACAGCTTCTCCACTGAGAGGGGAAAAAAAAGTGGAACAGACCTCCAACGTTTTGGCTTTTGGAGGGACTGCCTGAGGGACTGTTTCTACCTCGTCTGTCTCAGAGCTATAATGGGGAACTGTCATACCTTGGTTTACTGGGGACCACAAAGAGCAAAAGCTCAGTTGTTGCAGAGCCAGAAAGCCTGCCTACTGCAGACAAACAGCAGAGGGAGCAAGAGACTATGAATGCCTTAAAAAAGAAACACCCTCTCTAATAGGGAAATTTCATATAGAAGCCCAGAGAAGATACATCCCCCATGAAAGATTTGAGGAGACCTCCCCTTGCCCCCCAGGTCTCTAGACAGGCTGGCTGGTGATGTTCCTTCCCCGTGTGAAACTATTTCCCTTAAGTGCATTTTCAAATGCATAAGACAACAACAAAAAATAACAGGAGACATAAACAGGAAAACCTGGCCCAACCAAAGGAGCATAATAAATCTCCAGAACCAACCTTAAAAAAACATATCTATGAATTACTTGAAAAACAATTCAGAATAATCTGATAGAAGCTGAAAGTGCTACAAGAGAACACACACAACTAAACAAAATCAGGGAAACAATACATGAACAAAGTGAAAATATCAACAAAAAGAAACTATAAAAAAGAACCAGAGATTCTGGAGCTCAGCAATACAGTAAGTGAACAGAAAAGAAAACTTCACTAGAGGAGATCAGCAACCTATTTGATATCAAGCAGAAGAAAGAAGCAGTGACCTCAAAGACTGGTCATTTGAAATTATCAAGTCAGAGGAACAAAAAGGAAAAAATGAAGAAAAGTGAAGAAAGCCTAAGGGACTTACAGGATACGTCAAGCAGAACAATATATACATTAATGGAAATCCAAGTAGGAGAAGAGGGTGGGGCAGGGAGCTTAATCTGAAGATATCATGGCCAAAAATTGACCAATCTGAGGAAGGAAGTGGACATCCACTTTCGAGCATAAAAGATTACAAGAAGATTGAACCCAGAGAAGCTCACACTGAGACACATGAACTTTCAAAAGGCAGAAAGAGAATTTTGAAAGCAACGAGACAAAGCACCTCATCAGATACTAGGGAGCCTCATAAGATTATTAGATTTCTCAACAGAAACATTATAGGCCAGAAGGAGTAGGATGGTATATACAAAGTGCTGAAAGAAACTCCCAGCCAAGACTTATAACCAATAAAATTCTCCTTCAAAAAATGAAGGAGAAATAAAGATCTCAGATAAATAAAAGCTGAGGGTATTCATTACCATTAACCTGCCTTATAAAAATTGCTATTAAAAGTCCTTCAAGGGGCACCTGGGTGGCTCAGTTGGTTAAGCGACTGCCTTCGGCTCGGGTCATGATCCTGGAGTCCCGGGATCGAGTCCCGCATCGGGCTCCCTGCTCAGTAGGGAGTCTCTCTCTCCCTCCGACCCTCCCCCCTCTCATGCTCTCTCTCTATCTCATTCTCTCTCTCAAATAAATAAATAAAATATTAAAAAAAAAAAAAGTCCTTCCAGTTGAAAGGAAGCCAGCCAATAACATGAAGCATATGAAAACAAAATACAAAGCTGTCTGGTAAACATACATATGTAGACAAATAGATACTCATGTACTACTGTAAGGGTGATGTGAAAATCACTTTTAGTTCAGGTATAGAATTTAAAAAATAAACACATACAAAAAACTGTAACACTGTTACTGAATACAAAATTTTTAAATGTAATTTGTGACATCAATAAAAAAAATGGAGGACATATGAAGGAATAAGTACAGTTTTTTGTATGTGATTGAAGTTGTTACCAGCTCAGAATAGATTAGAAATGTAAGATGTTTTTTGTAATCCCTATGGTGTACATACACACGCGCGCGCGCGCACAGAACCTATAGAAGATACACAAAAGAAAATGAGAAAAGACTGAGGGCATGTCCCTATAAAGAATCAACAAAACACTAAGGTAGCAAGAGAATAAAAGGCAGAAATGACTACAAGACAGAAAACAGGGCGCCTGGGTGGCTCAGTTGTTAAGCAACTGCCTTCGGCTCGGGTCATGGTCCCAGGGTCCTGGGATCGAGTCCCATATCGGGCTCTCTGCTCCACGGGAAGCCTGCTTCTCCCTCTCCCACTCCCCCTGCTTGTGTTCCCTCTCTCGCCGTGTCTCTCTCTGTCAAATAAATAAAATCTTTAAAAAAAAAAAAGACCGAAAACAATTTACAAAATGGCAATAGCAAGTCCTTCTGTATTAATATTACTTTAAATATAAAAAGATTAAACTGTACAATCAAAAGACATAGAGCGGCTGAATGGATAAAAAATTTAGGATCCAGCTACATGCTGTCTGCAAGAGACTCATTTAGATTTAAGGATACATATAGACTGAAAGTGAAAGGATTGAAAAATATATTCCATGCAAATAGTAAACTAAAGAGCAGTAGTGGCATAGTTAAGAACTATTACAAGAGACAGAGAATGACACTATGGTATATAAAGAGATCAATTTATCAGGAATTATAGCCGTAAACAATTATAAATTTGCATCTAACATTACAGCACCTATATAAAGCAAATATCGACAGCTGAAGAGAGAAATAGCAATACAATAATAGTACAAGACTTCAGTATTCCGCTTTCTATAATGGATAGAACATCCAAACAGAAAATCAATGAGGAAACCGTGATCTTGAACAAAATGGACCTAACCAGACATATAGAACATTCCACCCAACAGCAGCAGAATGTACATTCTTTTCAAGCACACATGGAATACTCTTCAAGAAGGATCAAATGTGAGGTAACAGAAAAGTCTAAACATATGTAAGATTGAAGTCACACCAAGTATCTTTTCCAAACACAATGGAATGATGATGTTCATAAAGAACATTTTCATTGCTTTTTTTTTTTTAATACTTAGGAAATTTTTTTTCTAATACACAGTAATAGGTTCCAAATTTTCTTCCCCCACATCTTTTGTATAAATCAGCTTTAAAGTAGGTTCATTCCGTAATCATATTGCAGTTAAGAGATACTGGTCATAGTTGCTGATTTAAATGGTTTGACATAGAAAAGGACATTTTATAGCATTGTATAGTGAAATATAAAAATTTTTAGATGTACTAGTTTTAGTTTTAGGCTATCTATATTATGGGGAGTTAGCAAACTGCCAGCCCACTGCGTATTTTTGTAAATAAAGTTTTATTGGCACACAGCCATACTTACGCATTTATGTATTGTCTTTGGCTGTTTTAGTGCTACATCACAGAATTGAGTAGTAGCAATAGCAACCATGTAGCTCCAAACCCTAAAATAGTGACTCTCCTGACCTTTATAGGAAAAGTTTGCCAAGCTGTGTTATAGGTCATTGTTTTTCAGTAGTGGTATTAAATGGTGATGATTGCCTTGATTCAAGACTATTTTTGTAATAACCTCACTATTATTTACTCTCCTTCTGATAGTCCTTCCTTAATTGGAAGAAAAGAGCTAGAATTATACTTATTGCATCAAAAATTGCATATAGGGGCGCCTGGGTGGCTCAGTCGTTAAGCGTCTGCCTTCGGCTCAGGGCATGATCCCAGGGTCCTGGGATCGAGCCCCACATCGGGCTCCCTGCTCAGCGGGAAGCCTGCTTCTCCCTCTCCCACTCCCCCTGCTTGTGCTCTCTCTCTCTCACTATGTCTCTCTCTGTCAAATAAATAAATAAAATCTTAAAAAAAAAAAAAATTGCATATAACTCAGGACTTGGGGGTTTTTGGTTTTTTGGCTTTTTTGAAATTGTGTTGAAGACCGTTGTCTTGCATGAATTATAGAATAGGAAAAAGGTAGCAGACCACTGATAGAGATTAGCATTTCACTTTATCTGGATAGGTTTTTTTCAACTTTAGTGTATTTTTTTTTTTTTAAGATTTTATTTCTTTGAGAGACAGAAGGCATAAGAGCAAGGGGAGGGGCAGAGGGAGAGAGAGAATCCCAAGCAGACTCTATGCTGAGCATGGAACCTGATGCAAGGTTTGATCCCATGACCCTGAGATCATGACGTGAGTCAAAATTAAGAGATGCCCAACTGACTGAGCTGCCCCTATTTTATTTTTTTATTAACCGGGTTTTTTATTTTAAAAAGAAAATATGTTTTCATGGTCCAAATACTAAAGACAAAATCAAACAATACAAAAAGATATGCAGAGAAAAGGAAGTCACCTTACCCAGAGGAAACCACTCCTCCCAGTTTCCTATGTTTCATTCCAGAAGTAGTCTATATATCTATACAAGCACATATATACTTATGGATTGCCCAATTTTTTTATACAAAAATGAAGCACACTGTATACCCTGGTCTTACCTTGCTTTTTTCATGTAATACATATTTACGAGCTTATTGCTATAGCCAATAATATTCCAGTCAATTCAAGCATTTTATTCATAATGTTTTCTGTCCATTATTGTCTTATTTCTTAACTGTCTCCATTCTTTACATAAAGCAAGGAGAAACTTTGAAAGACAAATGTCAGTGTCCAGGGAAACTTTGATAGATGACATTTGGTTTAAGCAAGTACTTACTAATGACTTTTCAGTGTACAGCATGTTAGCTGGAGGAGTTGAATTTTTGAAAAAAAGTTCAGTTCAAGACCACATACTACAAACTTGTTATTTCATTTGTAGTTAATTCTCTAAATATAATGTACTCACAGTGTCGAATATTGGGAAATACCTTCCAGATATTTTTAAAGAAATAGGTTTCTTACTCCTCTACTGGCAGGTGTATGGAGAGAGAACTGTGTTTTAAAAAATAAACAAACATTGAATTATATTTGACACTTTTTTTTCATGTTACATCAGTTGATATATGTGATATTCACAAGGGTTGAAAAAAAAGGCTATCTTATCAATAGAGAAGCGTATGGGGGCTACAGCAAAAACAGGAAATGAAATATGCCTCAAAGAACATCGAATTCTAATGACAGATAAAACCATTGAGTCACAGAACAGATTATACCAAATCATAACATGCTCAGATGGTTTTAATACCAGCTTATTCAAATATTCCAAGAAAGACCACAGACTGATCTAACAGTAACTCCAGATGGATTCCCGAATTTCAAATATAAGACCTAGGATTGTTCTAGAAACCAATTCTGATCAATCCACACTTTAACTAACTTTCTAAAATTACCTTCTGATTAGCTCGACAACCTAAAAACCTCTAAGTATCCTCTCCTACTTTTTCCTTTGAGACCTCTTTTCATTGTGGCGCTCCCCTTTGCACAGCAAGTCTCATAAACCCAGGTTTATAGGATTGTCAGTTTCGTTGGTGGTCTCTGTAAGGTAGCTTTGAAAAAATTTCATTAGACTGCTATTTACTGTAGTAGAAATAAAAGTTGGAAAAACAAAGCAGTTTTTAGTTTTCATTTTTCTTTATTTTGTTTATTTATAGATTAACATTGCTACAGGATACTCACCGCTCACACCTGAGGGAATATGAAAAATATATACAAGATGTCAAGAGTTCAAAGAGTACCATCCAGAACCTAGAGAATTCATCAAATCAAGCTCTAAATTTTAAATTCTATAAAAGCATGAAAATTTATGTGGAAAATTTAATTGACTGTCTTAATGAAAAGGTAACATGGTTATAAACACAGTATTTCCTTTTTTATAAAGAAATCCCCTTATCATGGGGCGCCTGGGTGGCTCAGTTGGTTAAGCGACTGCCTTCGGCTCAGGTCATGATCCTGGAGTCCCGGGATCAAGTCCCGCATCGGGCTCCCTGCTCAGCGGGGAGTCTGCTTCTCCCTCTGACCCTCCTCCCTCTCATGCTCTCTGTCTTTCATTCTCTCTCTCTCAAATAAATAAAATCTTTAAAAAAAAAAAAAAATCCCCTTACCATGAGATTTCTTTTTTTTTTTTTTTTTTTTTAAAGATTTTATTTATTTAACAGAGAGAGATAGCGAGAGCAGGAACACAAGCAGGGGGAGTGGGAGAGGGAGAAGCAGGCTTCCCGCGGAGCAGGGAGCCCGATGCGGGGCTCGATCCCAGGACCCTGGGATCATGACCTGAGCCGAAGGCAGATGCTTAACAACTGAGCCACCCAGGCGCCCCCTTTTTTTTTTTTTTTTTTTTTAAAGATTTTATTTATTTAACAGAGAGAGATAGCGAGAGCAGGAACACAAGCATACCATGAGATTTCTTAAAAGTAAATCCTACAACTAAATACTTTCCTCTAGGGTTTTCTTATACATTTTTGACATACTGCAACATTAGGTACCCCCTTAATGTTGGACAGTTAGGTTTTTTGCAGTTATTTTGGTATTATAAAGTATTGTATATAAATTTTTATGTTAAAATTCCATCCGTTTAAGAAAAATTCCTAGAGGGCACCTGGGTGGCTCAGTTGGTTAAGCAACTGCCTTCGGCTTGGGTCGTGATCCCGGGGTCCTGGGACCGAGCCCCACATGGGAGCCTGCTTCTGCCTCTGCCTGCTGCCCCCCCTGCTTGTGGCGCTGTCTCTCTCTCTGTCAAATAAATAAATAAAATCTTTAAAAAAAAAAAAAAATTCCTAGAAGGGGAATTATTAAGTCAGTGTCTAAATATCTTTAAGACTTATGAAACATTGTTTAATTATTCACCAGAAGTATTGTATCGCCTTTTTTTAGCTTATTTCATTTAAAAAATGGTTTTTGTTTTTACATATTGTTTTTTTCTCATTTTTTTTCCTTTTTTAAAATTTAGATTCAATTAACATATAGTGTATTATTAGTTTCAGAGGTAGAGTTCAGTGATTCATCAGTCTTATACCCAGTGCTCATTACATCACGTGCCTTCCTTAATGTCCATCAGCCAGTTACCCCCCATCCCCCACCCCCTTCAGCAACCCTCAGTTTTTTCCCTATGGTTAAGAGTCTCTCATGGTTTGTCTTCCTTTCTGATTTCGTTTTACATATTTTGATCTGAAACAACCCTTTGTTTTATTAACACATGTAGTCTTTTTTCTTGCGAATTGTCTTCTTTGCCCTGTTATCTTTTTAGTTCATAGTGGGGATTTTTCCTTTTCCTTTCTTTTTTTCCTTATATGGTGAAAATTTCTTACTGCTTAAAATTTTTAAATATTTTATCCTACTTGATGTAGATAAACTTCGGGTCGTCTTTTGATTTGCAGTGGTTTTTTTGACATCCTGATGTTTTGAAATTTTTGTGTTAATCAAATCTGTGAATCATTCTTTCCCTTTATAATTTCTGTTTTTGTTTTATACATACTAAGTCCTTACATTAGGGTCTTGAGTTGACATTTTTTTCCTTTTAAGTAGATGAATCATTTTTAAAAATACACTCTACTTTCTTCGTTGTTTTTTATTTACATTTAAAATGTTACCAAACAATTGGATTTTTTCTCTCCTGTTGTTTCAAGTTGACTACTTTTTACTGTCCCTTGGTAGTTACTTTCTGAAGTATTTATTGCAATACAACTTTCTTCACTGATCCTTGAAGAATGACACTATTAACATTTCTTGGCCTACACATTGATGTACCCATGGCAACTATTATGGAACATCATTGGAGTGGGGGGAATTGTTGCCCAAGAAATGTAAGAACACCGATTTTAAATAATCATTCATTTCTGCTTCACAGCTTTTCTACCTGTCTGGTTAGGTCTCTTCCATTCTCCATTTTTTCGAATTTATCAGTTTCGTCAAGTGTGCTCTTACAGTTTGCCCCCTCGGCTTGTGAAAAATAGGTGCACCCCTCATTTTCTCCTTCTCATATCTCAAATAAAGAATCCTATTTCTTATCTATCCATTCTTATTCATATTCCTGACTCCAGCCCATTTGCTTTCATTATTTATGATATTTATAGCTGTTTTAGTACAGTAAGTTGATTTTCTGGTTTTATCAATATTAAAAGCATTGGCAGCCACATCTGTATCTGACAATATTTTTTTAATTAAAATGTGGTAGTATTGAATATGTTTCTTTATATAAGAATGTATTACTTTTTGTAATTCATTATTGATGACCTGCAAAATGTTACTTACATATGTATTTCAGATTATCAGCATCCAAGAAATAGAATCATCCATGCATGCACTCCTTTTAAAACAAGCCATGACCTTTGTGAAACGCAGGCAAGATGAATTAAAACATGAATCAACGTATTTACAGCAGTTATCACGTTAGTGTTTTTCATGTTCAATATAATTTATTATTCATTAAGCTGACAATTAGCTGGAGAATAAAATATTTTTATGCCTGTATAAAAAATGCTTTTTGCATATCTTCCCACTAACCTTTTACCCCTTTTCAAAAACTTCAAAATATTTAGAGTTAGGGCTTCAAAATGTCCTGAATTCCATCTAAGACAAAAGTAAAAATAAAAATTATAACTTCTAATCATTTAGTTTTTGAGACAGGATATATGGTCAGATAATGACTGTTTTGAGACGAGTTGACATAAACCTATAGGCTGTGTGAGAAATCTAACTTAATAAAGATTTCATGGCCCTCCCACATTATTTATGAAGGTTAGAGATGTTTTGGTGGGTTTCAGGAGAGAATCATTTTCCCTATGGATGCTACCTTTTAGTTCTCTCACTGGTTTTGTATTTTCAGAGATGCCTTCCGTTGATTAAAGTGCAGTCCAGGAAATAGCGAAAGAGATGAGATCATAACCAAATAGCTGATTAAAGCAAAGTGACTCTCAAACACGTGACCTATAGTTGGTTATAAATTATGGTACATACTAAAGTAGAAAATAATATAAATAACATATTGGTAATGCAAATAATTCTAGCAATTCAGGGACAGAAAAAAAACTGGTGAAAACTACTGAATAAGAATATGAGAAAAAGAAACTTGGTAGATTTTTGTTAGTATTCTCAAGTGCTGAACTGTATTCACCAGCCAAGGTATCAGGCTAGCAAGCTCAATGCCTATTAATATTGTGATAGGGAGTTAACATTGAAATTTCAATGCATGATGAAATATGCAATTTAAGCATATTAAGTGTATTTATATATACCTATATGTATATACACCCAAGATACAATTTTGGTTTAATAGTGTCTCTCTTTATTTCTTTTAAGAGTGAAATCAATTTTATTCATTAACAGGCAGAGCTGAGACATCAACAAATGAAAGCTTGGCTGTAGATGAAAAAACTCAATGGATTTTAGAAGAGATTGAATCTCGAAGGTAGCTATATAAACTGAAGACTTAAAGCATCATTGAGCAAGTATTTTTCACTACTTAAATATAGTTAACCCGTATGGTATAATTAACCATAACTGAACATTAATTTGTGAGAATGATGTAAAACCAAAATTGAGTTAAACAGTCCTCACCCCCAGGGTTTAAAGACACACTGGTGTATTAGGTCAGTCAAAAGGAATGGGTAAGATGGCATTTATTGGTCTAGGAATTGCTTGTAACTACAGCCAGTCATTATTATATTGTTACCACCTTTTTAAAGTCTGGGTAGCCCATGGGAATGTTCTGTAAGAAAAAGAGGGAGAACCACCAATTCAGATTAATCAAGCTGAAATGCCAAAAATATTAGCATAAAAATCTGTGGTGTATATTCTGGGCATTGATGAGTCCAGCTTTTTGTTAAAGCATTTCTTTTCAGCAGGAACTGTTCGTTTTTAATTTGCTTTCGGTTTATTGCAAAACATAGGTCACGAAGAAGACAAGCTAGGGCACTTTCTGGGAATTGTGATCATCAGGAAGGGACATCTAGTGATGATGAACTGTCTTCAGCAGACATGAATGACTTCCAAAAAACCCAAGGTCAGTTACCAAGTTTCTAATATGTCTTAATTTGAAATATTGAAATGGTAGGAAATGCTTCGCAGTGCTTGCCCCCCCCTTAAATACGTAAGCTATATAAAATCGTTGGGAAAATTTAGGAAAAAAGGAACACATTTTTTTCCCCTTTTTAGACTTTTCTTGGGGCACCTGTCTGGCTCAGTCAGTAAAGTATGTGACTCTTGATCTTGGGGTCATGAGTTTGAGCCCCCACTTTGGGATTAGAGTTTACTCAAAACAAAACAAAACAAAAAAACCTTTTTCTTCCTCTGAAAAAATGGGATAAAATGGAGGAACATTGTGAGTATTCTGCATCTTTATAGTTTTTTTCCCCTCAGCCTTCCTCATCTTTTGTAAAGGAACCATGGACATTTTTTATTTTGTTTCTCTACTACATACTTTCTATATCATCATTTTTAATTGAAAACTTAAATTTAGGGGTGCCTGGCTGGCTCAGTCGCTAGAGCATGCAACTCTTGATCTCAGGATTATGAGTTCAAGCCCCACATTGTTGGTAGAGGTTACTTAAAATTTTTAGTGATATGAGAAGGTAAAATATTGTATATTTGAAAGAATGTGGGCCTTACAGTCAAATAGATGGGTTTGAAGAAGGGCTGTATTCTGTGTGATCTTAGGCAGATCCATTGATCTCCCTGAATCTCATCTTGCTTGTTTGCTTGTTTTTCGTCTGTAAATAGGGTAGTGACACCTGCTGTAGTTGTGATGCTGACGTAGCAGGAACTCAGTAAGTGGTGGAATTTGTTAGTGTCAATATTGTTATTAAAGTGATTTTTTTTAATAAAAACTATATGTTCATATCGAAGGAAAGTTTTCAGCTCAGTTGATTATATACATCTTTGTACGTGACTGTTTATAGGAAACAAAGTTCACAAACTTAAAATGTATTATATACAGAGACTCATTTTGTTTACAGGTGACATTTCACAGGATCATAAGAAGATTTTTGAAGATGTACATGATGATTTTTGTAATATCCAGCATATTTTGCTGAAATTTCAACAATGGCGAGAAAAGTATCCTGATTCTTATTATGAAGCTTTCATTAGTTTGTGGATACCGAAGCTTTTAAATCCCCTAATCCGAGTTCAGTTGATTGATTGGAATCCTCTTAAGGTATTTAAGCTTAACATATAAAAGAAATAATTCTGTCATGTTCATTATTTAAATGCCCTTGTTATCAGGTTAGCTTTAAAATACATAGAGTTGGATTTGATAATTAGTGTTTTGGGGTAATAGTTTGCATTCATCTTTTTTATTTTTGGTTCCTCCTTTATTTTTAAGCCTGAATAGCACTAAATATCTGTCAAGGAAACACTTTTTTTTGTTTTATAGCTTCTTCTATGATAAGTTTAATATTTTTAAATGATTTAAAAACGTAAAGGTAGTATTTTAAGAATTTTAGTCTGTTTGAGGAAATTCAGCATAGGTACCAAGAGTTCTGAAGTTGGAGATGATATATTGGTAATAATTTGGTTTGGAAAGCTGCATTGAGGAGGGGGAGTTGAAATGAGGATTGGAAGGGTCTTGAAGATTTAAACAGGAGACAAACTTTTTTGTAAAGGTGCATAAGGAGAAATCGTAGTTCAGGAGCTAGAGACTGTATAGAGATTCAGATCCTAAATTAAGAGATAGGAACTTATTTTGGTAAATAATGGGAGGAGTAGCATTATGAAAGTAATGTTTTAGGAAGCCCTAGCAGCAAGCTAACTTGGAGGGAAGGGAGATAAGAGGTGGATATAATACTGAAAGGCTACTGCTGAACCCCAAGTCCAAGGTAGTGAATTCCTCACATAGAATGGTAGTGACAAAGAGAGAAAGAAAGTGTTGATTAGAGAGAGAGAGGGAAACACCAAGAAACAGACTCATAACCATGGAGAACAAACTGATGGTTACCAGAGGGGAGGGGGACGGGGGAATGGGTGAAATAGGCAATGAGGATTAAGCTGTGCACTTGTCCTGATGAGCACTGGGTGATGAATGGGGTGTTGAATCACTACACTGTACACCCGAAACTAACACAACTGTATGTTAACTATATTGGAATTAAAATAAAAGGAAGAATTAGTAAAATACTGAGAATAACTCTGACACATCATCACATCGAAAGGTGGCCCCGATGTTTTGATTCTGGGTTGTTAGAACAGTGGTAGTTCCATTAATAGGAATGGGGATTTCCAGGAGGGAAAAAGATTTTGAAGGAAGTTTTACTGATAGTGGAATATCCATGTGGATATGTCTAGTAAGGAAACAAATGAGAAAATGAAATTGAAGGAATAGAGGAGAACCAAAGGTAAAGATTTAACAGAATAAAGGAGACAGAGCCATGTCCTTTTATCTTTCTCTGTCCTAGTCATGCATGCCTGTTGCTGTGTTAGGTTCAGGTCCAGGCAGTCTTCATAGTACAGGAACTAAGCTGATCTCTAAGAAAATTAGTAGTTGGTTGGACAGCAGCCTAGTTGTTAACCACTCAAGCTGATATGTTCATTCATTCAACAAATAATAATTGGCCATCTGCCACTTGCCTGTTAAGCTAAACCACCTGTAAAATACACATTTGTCCCTATGAGAATTGAGAGAACCAGAAATGAATTTTGCATGAGGTAAATGAATTTTTATAAACAAATTCCATGGTTATTTTAAGTGCTATTCTTACAAATGTATGAAAGTAAAGTGTGGTAGGTTCTGAACATAGTGGGCATTTTTGGAGTATTTGTCGTATGAATGATGGATAGAATGTAGTTTCTTGTCATACTGTTTAGACATCATATCTTAGTCATGTCACCCTGCCTAGTCTTGGTGGTCTAGTGCTAAATACAAGGGGTTAAAATATGGAATTGTTCTTTTTTGATTCTCAGAAAAGTTCCAGTGATTACTGAAAAATATAACTTTTAAAATAATGTTTAAGAATGTATTGATAATTTTGATAATTTTATTTATAAGTTTGATGCCATAGGTTTAAAACAGATGCCGTGGTTCACATCTATAGAAGAATTTATGGCTAGCAGTATGGAAGATTCAAAGAAGGAAGATAGTTCTGATAAAATCTTGTCTACTGTCATCAACAAAACACTTATTCCTCGACTTACAGGTACTACTGCTTTGTAATCTTGGTAAAATTAAATTATTCTCTGGCAGAGTCTAAGATCATCAATTTCTACTACATTCACAGATTTTTTTTTTCAGAAGTTTCTGAACACAGGGAAATGTAAAATGCAGTAAAAATCAATAGATGTCATAATTGAAGGTGATTAAAAAGTGCTTCTTTGCACAAGTGATCAGCTACCAGACTGCTAGTATTCTTCAGCCTTTAGCATTTGTGACATTGGTGTTGCTTCTATAACACCTAAGTCATTTATTAGTGGCATACTTTCATTCCTACTACAGTAGGATTTCTTTCCCTTGACTTCTCCCCGTTTCTTTTCATTTCTTTCTTTAAAAAACCTTACTACATCTTCCCCACATCTGCACTTAGCATTGATGCTTGTTTGTGCTTCAGTCTGAGGACTTGTTTCATCTGAAATTGTACTTGATAAGGATCTGATTCACCATGTCCCTGAGAACAGATTCTGATAGCAAAGACTGCAGAACTCTTTTTTTTTTTTTTTAAAGATTTTTTATTTATTTATTTGAGAGAGAGAGCACATGAGAGGGGGGAGGGTCAGAGGGAGAAGCAGACTCCCTGCCGAGCAGGGAGCCCGATGCTGGACTCGATTCAGGGACTCCGGGATCATGACCTGAGCCGAAGGCAGTCGCTTAACCAACTGAGCCACCCAGGCGCCCAAGACTGCAGAACTCTTAAAAGGTGAAGCAACCACCTTTGTATTACTTGTTAGCCAATTTAACTAAACTTTAAAGATTTTTCTCAGTGTATCTTGCAGTACAGTCATGGTTTTATTAGAAAGTTACTACTTTTACCTAGCTCTGTTAATGATAGCACAGAATATGTATGCCTCATTTAAGTACTCTTCTAAAAACTCCAAATACGTCACTTAAAATTAAACAGTCCCTCAAATAAGTAGAATTATGAGAAATTAATACTATATATTTATTCTCAAGGTCTATCCTGGACCCTCTTGTACTCTTCATGAGCCCCATGGGTAATTTCATGCTCTCCTTTAGTGCTGTCTATATCTGTGTTGTTCAGTGTAGTAACCACTAGCTAAATGTGATTATTAAAATTTTCAACTAAGTAAAATTAAAATTCAATTGCTCAGTCATACTAATGACATTTTAAATACTTAATAGTCATACATATGTAGCTCATGGCTATTAGATAGTACAGATATAATGTGTGTTTTCCATCATTCAGAAAGTTACTTCAGATAGTGCTGCTCTACATAATTTTAAATCCAAAAGTACCGGAGGAAGTCCACATCTCTCTTATCAAAGTACCTCCCAAGTACATCCACTTGGATGTCCAAAAGGCACCTCGCAGTCCACAAGTGTCATCATACTTACCATCTTTGCTGCAGATCTGCTCCTCTTATATTCTTTATCTAGAAAGTGACATCTCCATCTACCCATGTATTCAAACCAGGATTTTCGAGTCATTCACTCCTCCATCTTTCTTACTTATATAAGCAATGGCCACATCTGTTTTGGGTTTGTTTGTTTTTTTCCCATTTTCTAATGTATTTTCTATACTACAACCAAAGTAATTCGTTTAAAATGTGAGTCTGATACTATCATACCTCACTTAAAACCCTTTCATTATTCTTAACTGTCCTTGGGATGAAGCCTAAACTCTTTAACATGGCTTTCTTGGCCTTTCAGAATCACTCTCTGCTTAGTAATTCTCCAGCCCCATCTCTTGCTAAGCTCTATTTCTTCTTTTCCTCATTTCCGCATTTCAGCTATATTCTTCCTAGGCCTTTGTATCTTCTATGTTCCATCCGTTTGACAAACCTCCTAGCCCCACCTCTTCTGCCTGGCTAATTCCTCTTCATCTTTCAGGACTCAGTATAGACATCACTTTTAGGAACTGGTTCACGCGTACCTCTCTGGGTTCCTGTAGCACTCTGAACTCATACTTCTGGTAACACCAACACACTGAATTATAATTGCTTATATAAATGTATTTGCCCTTAGACAAAGTTGTTCAAAGGCAGCTACCTACCTAATCTTATTCATTGCTCTGTCTCTTGTATTGAACACTAGGCACATAGTAGGCTCTCAGTATTAGTTGACCAAATATTTCTAAGGTTATTAAAAACCTTCTAGGGGCTCCTGGGTGGCTCAGTCGGTTAAGCGTCTGCCTTCAGCTCAGGTCATGATCCTGGGGTCCTGGGATCGAGCCCTGCTAAGCAGGGAGCCTGCTTCTCCCTCTCCCTCTGCCATTCCCCCTGCTTGTGTTCTCTCGTGCTCTCTCTTTCAAATAAATAAAATCTTTAAAAAAAAAAAAAGAAACCTAACCTTCTAGATGCTTGAGAAATCACTGTTGTCTTTTTTTTTTTTTTAAACCTATTTCATTTTTTCTATTATTTAACTTGTATTTTACAAGGGTCTACCCTGTGTCAGGCACTTTTGTTGACTCAGCATATACAGTAGTGAACAAAATAATAATCCCTTCCCTCCTGGAGCTTACATTTTGTGAAAAAGATAATAAATAAAATCTAGAAAATGTTAGTTATGAGGGCTGAGATGAAAAAGTAAGAGAAAGGGATACAGATAATCAAAGAGGAGTGCAATTTAAAATGGAATGGCCAGAAAAGGCGTTCCTGAGAAGGTTACAATTGAGTAGATTCTGAAAGGAAGAAGTGGGCCATAAGAATATCTGGGGAAACAGAATCCAATGCAGTGGAAACAGCAAGGCAGGAGCCAGCCTGATTTGCTTGAAAAACAGCACATAGGCCATTGTAGCTATAGTGGAATGAGGATGGGCAGAGAACAGGAATTGGTTAACAAGATGGTAAGAGCTCAGTCACCTGGGTGGCTCAGTCAGTTAAGCGTCCAACTCTTGGTTTCAGCTCACGATATAGTATCAGGGTCATGGGATTGAGCTCTGCATTGGGCTCTGCACTCAGTGTGGAGTCTGCTTGAGATTTTCTCTCTCTCTCTCGCTCCCTCTCTCCAAAATAAAAATCTTAAAAAAAAAAAAAAATGACAGGGGCTACATTATATGGATCCTTATAATCATTCGTAAGGACTTCACTTTTTATTGTAAGTCAAAGAGTGAGAAGTAATTGGTCTGCCTAACATTTTAGCAGAATCACTGTGGTTACTGTGTTGAGAATGAACTGTAGGCAGACCACTTAGGAAGACTTTGCAGTAATCCAAGCAACAGATGATACTGGCTTGGGCTAGGGTGTTAAAAGTGGAAGTGCTGAAAAGTGGTTGAATTCTGCATACATTTTAAACATAGCACTAACAGAATTTTTTAATGGACTGGTTGTTTGGAGCAAGAGAGAGAGGAATCAAGAGTGACTGCATGGGTTTGGGCCTGAGCATTTGGAAGGACAGAGTTGCCATTTCCTGAAGTGAATGAGACTGAAAGGAGCATGGTTAGGGTAAGGGGGTGTTATCAGGAGCTCAGTTTGACAAATGTTGAGTTTGCAATGCCTGTCATCCAAGTAGAGATGTCAACTAGGTTGTTGAATATATGAGTCTAAAGGAGAGGGCCAAGTAGCAGACATAAATTTGGAATTTATCAGCACATAAATGACATTTAGAGCCACAAAACTGACCTTAAATACTAAGGGTACAAATGTAGACAGGAAAGAGAAGGTAAGTGACTTGAGTCCTGAGGTACTCCAGCATTTATGAATCAAGGAGATGACAGGCAGCCAGCAAAGGAGACCACAGAGATACGTGGGAAACCAGGAATGCTATCCTGGATGCCAAGAAAAGAAATGTTTGTAAGGGGAATGATCAACTGTTCCAATTGTTGCTGATAAATCAGATGGGGACTAGAATCAACCATTAGGTTTTGCAATGTGAAGGTCATCTGCAATGGTAAGAATAGTTTAGGTAGAATGGTTGGAGATAAGGCCTAATTGAAATGAATTCAAGAGTTAATAGGAAAGAAATCAGAGATAGTTTCAACAGTTTTTTGAATTTTGTTGTAAAGTGAAGGAAAGAAATAAGGCAGTACTAGAGGGAAAGAAGGGTCAAGGGAGGGATTATTTTCAGTATAAGAGACTAATTGTAGGCTGTTGGGAAAGATCCAGTAGAAGTGATGGCAATACCGAAGTTAAGAGGGCAGAATTCTGGGAACAGGATCTTCCAGTAAGCCAAAGGGGTTGAGACCTTTTGCACAAAGTGAGGAGCTTGAGTGCTTCATCCATAAGAATGGAAGACAAGCAGGGCGCCTGGGTGGCTCAGTCGTTAAGCATCTGCCTTCGGCTCAGGTCGTGATCCCGGGGTCCTGGGATCGAGCCCCGCGTCGGGCTCCCTGCTCCACGGGAAGCCTGCTTCTCCCTCTCACACTCCCCTTGCTTGTGTTCCCTCTCTCGCTGCCTCTCTCTCTGTCAAATAAATAAATAAAATAAAATAAAGAATGGAAGACAAGAGTATGTGGGCATAGTTGTAGGTAGGTGTGTAGATTCTGCAGTAGTTGCTTATAGAACTTTTCTTGTTTTCTCATCAGTTGAGGAAATATTAGCATGAGGGTGAGAGCAAGGGAAGAGACAATAAAAGGTAAATAGTTGTCTAGAAGAGTCAAGTCCATTAACTGAGAAAGCAAGGAGGAAGAAAAGGACAGGAAATGATCATCTGGATGAGAGGGAGGGGGAATGGGCCAGGAAAACATGATTGCTAGGCAGCATGAAGGGCTCACTGGAGTTTCACAGTGATAAATTTAAAGTGTATTTTTTTCCAGCCATGTTTTAGCCATATGGTTGGAGCACAGACTCGGTGACAGGTGGATTTAACTAGAGCTGTGGTTGAGTTAGACAAGTTCAACAGAGCCCAAAAAGGACAAGGAAATTGAGGATGTATGCAAATACATAATGGTAATGATCGGCATGGATTTTAAATCTCATAGGATGGAAGTCTTTGCTAAAGGCCTCGGTTGTTTATACATGAAAAGCAAAGCAATCTAGTAAGTAAATTGTACACTACTGAAACTTTTGTTTCAGACTTTGTAGAATTCATTTGGGATCCCTTGTCGACCTCACAGACTACAAGTTTAATAACACACTGCAGAGTGATTCTTGAAGAACTTTCCACTTGTGCAAATGAAGTTAGTAAAGGCAAACAGGTAATAATTTCTAGAGTTAAAAAACTTCTTGATTTATTTATAGGTTAATGTACTTTTGTTCTAAATCTTTGTTTCCAGAAGATGCAAAAGAAGTAATTACCAAAAAACAATTTGGGAAAAAATAGATTTACTTCTGATTTATAGAAACTAGGATTGACCATTTCTTCTTTATAATAATAAGTTGAAAGAATATACCTTTATGTTTATGAACATTCTAACAGGGATTGACAGTCATTATTAATTGTAGGATACACATACATGTAATAAGACCCAGATTATTATTTTTATTTTTATTAGTTTATTCCTCTCTGTTCAGTGGTCTGGTTTTTGTTCTCGTGGTCCAGCCAGCCATTTTTCAGGTTTGTGAATATACATTGGCCCTGCAGAGATGAATAGGCATAAATGCATTGTGCAAATTGGTTCCTTCTAAGAGGAAAAAAATTATTTTCTTTTGGCAAAAATCTAGTAGTGTGGCTTTGCTTTAACAATGATTTTAAAATTAGATTAACATTCATTATATGAACTAGTTATTTGTAATCTGCCAAAGTTAAGAGCAGTAATCTCTTTAAGGATTCAAAGTTCAGTGAATATGGAGCACCTGGCTGGCTCAGTAGAGCATGTGAGTCTTGATCTTGGAGTCATGAATTCAAGCCCCACATTGGGGTGTAGATTATACTTAAAATTAAAAAAAAAAAAAATCCTTAAAAAAAGTTCAGTAGGATAGATTTTCATCTTACCATGATTTAGAATTGAGTTTTATCCAACATAAGACATAAGGAGAGACCTTTTAGAGGCTTTGGTGAGAGTTTGTTAAATCTTACTTTTATTGTGGTACTCTTTTTTATCATTCTGTTTGTTGATGAGAATGTCATATATTCATACAGTTAAATCAGTAAACCAATTATATGTTGACCTTTAAGGAAATTGAGAGAGATTGTAAGCAAGGTGATTGAGAAGCGAGGAGACATGTCGCGTTCATATTACCAACACCATTAAATTTTAGCACTGGGAATTATGAAGGAGGGAAGCTGTAAGAAATAAGAGGGAGAAGAGGGAAACCAGCATGATTCCGTCTTCAAGAAGCATGTAATCTAAAAGGAAATAAGATGTACATAAATTGTTATTTAAAGGGCGCCTGGGTGGCTCAGTCAGTTAAGCTCCAACTCTTGATCTCCGCTCAGGTCTTGACCTCAGGGTCATGAGTTCAAGCCCCACATGGGCTCCACGCTAGGTGTGAAGCCTACATTAAAAAGGAAAAAAAAATGTTATTTAAAATAGGAAGTGAGAAGTGGGGGAAGACAAGGAACACTTATTTAATTCCTGCTAAGTACTTGGTACTCTGTTAGGTCTTGTTCCTATGTCATCTTAGTTCTAGCAGCTCTATTAAAAAATGGGTGATAGCTTCATTTTACAGATGAAGAGACTGAGTCTCAGATATTTGTTCATAGTAATACCTTGAATTAGAACTAGGATTTGAACCTTAATCTTTTTTTTTTTTTAATGTTTTATTTATTCATGAGAGTCAGAGAGAGAGAGAGAGAGGCAGAGGTAGAGGGAGAAGCAGGCTCCCCGCAGAGGAGGGAGCCCGATGTGGGGCTCGATCCCAGGACTCTGGGATCATGACCTGAGCCGAAGGCAGATGCTTAACGACTGAGCCACCCAGGCGCCCCAACCTTAATCTTATTTTAAAGCCTCAGCTCATGTCACTGACCACATTGCCTGCCCACCTTCCCACCCACCCCCCACCTGAGCAGCCCAGATGAAATACTGTGAAATGTTCAAGGTGACATTTGAGCTGGGACCTAATGGAAAGTAAAGGATTTGAACATATAGCAACTGTGACGGGGAAGAGGGCATTCTTCACCTTCCTCCAACAGAATAAAGACTGCCCTGGGTATGTTACATTTAGTTCTGGGTGTAAGTGTATTAAATGGAAAGTGTTTAAGATGGTATGGGAAAGAGAAAATGTAGAAAAGTGAAATACCAGTCTTAGAATCTGAAGAATTATCATGTGGAAGGGAGATTAGTTTTGTTCTGTATGATCTTAAGAAGTAATTAGGACTTGGGGCGCCTGGGTGGCACAGTTGGTTAAGCGACTGCCTTCGGCTCAGGTCATGATCCTGGAGTCCCGGGATCAAGTCCCGCATCGGGGGCTCCCTGCTCAGCAGGGAGTCTGCTTCTCCCTCTGACCCTCCTCCCTCTCATGCTCTCTGTCTCTCATTCTCTCTCTTGCAAATAAATAAAATCTTAAAAAAAAAAAAAAAAATTTAAAGTTTAAAAAAAAAAGAAGTAATTAGGACCAAGGAGTGGAAGGTATAGAAAAGTTTGTTTCTCATTGTTAACTGAAATCTAATAGTTAATAACTGCCCAAAGTTATGGGCGGCCTCAGGAGATCATGATTCCCTATCACTACATGTTTTTAAGCATAAGTTGGTTGACCAGTTAGTGGAAATGTGAAAATGTTATCAAGTATTTAGATTGCTAGTTTTCAGATTTCTTCTATCAACAACTTTTTTCACATAAAATCTTACACACCCCTGTACACAAACACACAAAAGCAAAGCTGCTCTGCTGTAGTCAGCACCTCCCCTCACTTTCCCTTGAGGGCCTCAACATCTGCCCAAGCCACCCAGGATTATCTCCGTGGATATACAGAGCAGTGTAAAAACTACTAGCTAAAGCTTCTAAGAGTCTTTTCAATGCTATTTTAAAGAATGTATACTTGTGTGTGTGTGTGTATTTGTTAAAACTTTACTGTTTGGAGACCTTTTTTTTCCCCCACACCAAATAATGTATTTGAAAACTTGAAAAAGTTAATGAGCTCAGAGTTTTAAAATATATGAATTTGTTTTAAACAAATTTTTGGAAATAATGTCAAACTTAGAGAAAACTCTCATGAATAAAAATAGCATACTCATAGGCCATTTACCCAGATTCACCTGTCATTAACGTTTTGCCCCATTTTGCTTTATTATCCGCTGTCCCATTGTATATATACACAATTTGTTTCTCCTGAACACTTTGAGAGTAAATTGCATATTTGCTCAGAATAAAGATAGTCTGTTACATAACCATGGGACACTTATCATTTTCAGTAAACTTCATGATACTTAATCTGCCATCCATATTCCACTTCCATCATTTGACTCAATAATGTCCTTTATAGCATTTTTTTAGAAAACTGTTTTTAAGAAACAAAAATTTAAACAATATGGAAATACTTGTCAAGGCTAGCATTCAATTACAATGATGTAATTTAATTAGAAAAAAATCAAAACATAACTGTCTAGTGCAAACACAAACTCAGTAATCTCCATAAGTTCAGATACTACTCTGTGGAGATAATGCCTAGAAAAATGATCTTTATTCTTTTAAAATAATTCAAAATATTTTAGAAATGGGGTAAAAAAAATTGAATTTTTGTTTTTAACATTAAATAGTGATATGTGGCCACTGGAGGAATATGTCCTTGATATTTAAGTGGAAAAAGAAACAGGACTTCAGTTAGATATACTTTTTGTGAAAAAAAATACATTTGGTTGAATTCTACATTTATGAGTAATTTGGCCAGTATGGGCTTTTGAGAGCTTAATTTGTGCTACACATTGTTACCGACTTGAAAACTATTCTAGTGTATTTTGTGGCATTTTTATTTTTCAAATATGGATTCCTTTTTAAGAATAAGAGTAATATTATAGAAATTTTGGTAATACATGAAAAAAATTTAAATTCCCCTTATCTTTTCAACCTCGTACAAGGACTTGATACCATTGTAGGATATTTTTATCCAGCCTTTTACTTCAAAGTTATAATCCTAGTGGACATGTACATTTGTATCCTACTTCTTTCCCTTAACATTATCTCATTAAATATTTAATTTTATTTCTTACTACAGTCTTTATAAACTTTACCTAAGTAATAGTTTCTTGCAATGGATGATATTATATGTCTTAAAAATACTCTGTGATCGAATATTTTGGTTGTTCCCAATTTTTTTTTTAAGATTTTATTTATTTGACAGAGAGAGAGAGACACAGCGAGAGAGGGAACACAAGCAGGGGGAGTGGGAGAGGGAGAAGCAGGCTTCCC